GTATCGATATGAACTCCTGCGCATGCGCATATATAGATATTTCGACAAACAGATTTTTTTCATCTTCATACGAAGGAACACAGTTCGCACGACAAAAATAACGTTAGAAATTAAAGACGCTTTCAAATTGAAAATGACATCAGTATATTTCTAATTCTTTAGCTGTGCAATAAAAATGAAATTTTTCTCAGATACAACACTAAATTTATGTTTTAATTTTTGAGGCCCTTCCAGAAACGTGTCGATGAACATTGCAAAATTTATAACCTTCTTACGCATGATGAAATATTCTAACATTTAAAAACAATTAAGACGAAAACCCTATAAGCAAAAATGAATTTGTGTTTTCTTTAGACAAGAATGAAAAGAAAAAACAATATGGAAGAATGAAGAGGTGGGAAATAATCAACAGAGACAAAAAAAAACACGAAAGAAATTAAGAAAAACATAAGGAAGAAAGGCGGAGCAAAATAGAAAAAAAAATGGGGAAAAACAGGCGTATAATCCCACCAACTATAGATACTAGCTTTCGGATTCCAGAATTCAGTCAGTTACGTGCCATGCGTGATACACGCTTAGGCGATTATGTAACTTCCGAGAGATGATTGACGAGATTTTTCCCGCAGTAGGTTGCCATTTCTTTTTTCGGTAGACCAGTTGCCATCCAAGGCTCTAGAACCCGGTCTGTCCTGCTATTTACACATAGCTAGGGGAGAAGAAAAGGATACATACGTTTCCCAAGGATATAAGCACGTAAGTGAATGTAATGGATTCGACTGGAATTCGAACTCGGCTCACCGATTCCTCAATCCAAGCCGCGGTCCATTACTATTGCCTCCTAGTTTACAACGTTAGATTACATAAAGGATTAAAATGTTCGTTAAAAGATATACGGTCGCTGGTTGTTGTGAGTTCAATTCCTGGGTTTAGTAGAGCTGAAACCTCACATAGTCTAGTTCAGCGAAAAGAACGGACAAAGCGATATTTAGATAAACAAGAAAAATTTACCTATGTCGAATTAACAAAATTGAACAGATTGTTGGTTTTGATATCCAGTGGTTGAAGAACACTGGTAACCACATCAAGAAGAATGACGAGATCTATTTTCATTGATATCACTTGCCTTGTTACAAAGTATGTCGAAAGGAACCATATAAAAACTGAATGCTGCAAATGCTAAAATATCAATGGGTATTGTACACGAGAGAATATTTCAAACATACGCACTTGTGTATAATACGTATCTTATCTGCGTCACGACTGTCCACGATTAAATATGACAGTTGTGTCGTTCCGCGTATGCAAGGATCAATATTTGAGCTCAGTTTTCAAGACAAGATTTCGAATATTTATTTTCAAGCTGTACAACAGTTTTCCCAGATCAGTGCTTAAAATGTCCTCAAGCATATGAAGATAGCAGGATTAGTGAAAAACATCCATCATCATACTTCCTGGACTGGCGCTACAGAAACAAACAAACAAAGAAAAAAAAACAACGAATAATAGAAACAACATCACTTGCGGACGTACATCAATGATAACACCGAAGACAAATATCACAAACTCAACGAAAAAATAGGGCCACTTTACCGTATGTTTTACCGATCAGTTTCTGCTTTAGGGTGTATAAAACCACCACATTTGTATCCTAAATTATTAAGTCATTGTAAATATATTTTACCGATCAGTTTCTGCTTTAGTATCTATCCTGCCAGCACGTTTATATCCTGCCTACATTGTTAAGGCATTGTAAGTATATTTTACCGATGACTTTCTGCATTAGTGTATCCTAACACCACATTTGTATCCTACGTTAAGGCATTGTAAAAATATTTTACCGATCAGTCTCTACTTTATTATTATCCTACTACCACATTTATATATATTTATTAAGAGATTGTAAATATATTTTACCGATCAGTTTGTGGTTAAGTGTATATCCAACCACCACATTTGTACCATACCACCATATTTGTATCCTACATTGTTAAGGAATTGTAAATATATTTTACCGATCAGTTTCTATTTTAGTGTGTATCCTGCCATCACATTAGTAACCTACTGTATTATGGCATTGGAAATATATTTCATCGATCAATTTATACTTTAGTTTGTACACTACCACCACATTTGTATCCTACATTTTTAAGGCATTGTAAAAATATTTTACCGATCAGTTTCTGATTTAACTTTTATCATATAACCACATTAGTATCCAACATTATTATAGCATTGGAAATATATTTTACCGATCAGTTTCTGATTTAACTTTTATCATATAACCACATAAGTATCAACTTTATTATAGCATTGGAAATATATTTTACCGATCAGTTTCTGATTTAACTTTTATCATATAACCACATAAGTATCCAACTTTATTATAGCATTGGAAATATATTTTACCGATCAGTTTCTGATTTAACTTTTATCATATAACCACATTAGTATCCAACTTTATTATAGCATTGAAATATATTTTTACCGATCAGTTTCTGATTTAACTTTTATCATATAACCACATTAGTATCAACTTTATTATAGCATTGAAAATATTTTACCGATCAGTTTCTGATTTAACTTTTATCATATAACCACATTAGTATCAACTTTATTATAGCATTGGAAATATATTTTACCGATCAGTTTCTGATTTAACTTTTATCATATAACCACATTAGTATCCAACTTTATTATAGCATTGGAAATATATTTTACCGATCAGTTTCTGATTTAACTTTTATCATATAACCACATTAGTATCCAACTTTATTATAGCATTGAAATATATTTTACCGATCAGTTTCTGATTTAACTTTTATCATATAACCACATTAGTATCAACTTTATTATAGCATTGGAAATATATTTTACCGATCAGTTTCTGATTTAACTTTTATCATATCATAAGTATCCAACTTTATTATAGCATTGGAAATATATTTTACCGATCAGTTTCTGATTTAACTTTTATCATATAACCACATAAGTATCAACTTTATTATAGCATTGGAAATATATTTTACCGATCAGTTTCTGATTTAACTTTTATCATATAACCACATTAGTATCAACTTTATTATAGCATTGGAAATATATTTTACCGATCAGTTTCTGATTTAACTTTTATCATATAACCACATTAGTATCCAACTTTATTATAGCATTGGAAATATATTTTACCGATCAGTTTCTGATTTAACTTTTATCATATAACCACATAAGTATCCAACTTTATTATAGCATTGGAAATATATTTTACCGATCAGTTTCTGATTTAACTTTTATCATATAACCACATTAGTATCCAACTTTATTATAGCATTGGAAATATATTTTACCGATCAGTTTCTGATTTAACTTTTATCATTAACCACATTAGTATCAACTTTATTATAGCATTGGAAATATATTTTACCGATCAGTTTCTGATTTAACTTTTATCATATAACCACATTAGTATCCAACTTTATTATAGCATTGGAAATATATTTTACCGATCAGTTTCTGATTTAACTTTTATCATATAACCACATTAGTATCCAACTTTATTATAGCATTGGAAATATATTTTACCGATCAGTTTCTTATTCAATGTTTACTCCACCATTACATTTGTATGCTACAATATTAAGCCATTGAAAAATATTTTACCGATCAGTTTCTGCTTTAGTGTGCCTCCTACCACAGCATTTGTACCATAGCACCATATTTGTATCCTACATTATTAAGGTATTTCAAACATATTTTACCGAACAGCATCTGCTTTAGTGTGTATCCTACCGACACATTGGAATCCTACATTATTAAAGCATTGTAAATATATTTTACCGATCAGTTTCTGTTTTAGTTTGTACCCAACCACCACATTTGTACTCTACCTTCACATTTCTATCCTACACTATTAAGGTATTGTAAATATATTTTACCGATATTTTCTGTTTCAGCGTGAATCCTATCACCTCATTTGCATCCTTCATTATTAATGTATTGTAAATATATATTTTACTGATCAGTGTCTACTTTAGTGTGTATCCTAACATCACATTTGTAATCTAACAGCATATTAGTATCCTACATTGTTAAGGCATAAATATTTTACCGATCAGTTTCTGCTTCAGTGTGTGTTCTACAACCACATTTGTATGCTAAATTATTAAGGCATTGTAAATATAGTTTACCGACCATTTTCTGCTTTAGGGTATATCCCACCACGATATTTGTACCCTACTACCATTATATTGGTATTCTACGTTATTAATATATTGTAAATATATTTTAATTATCAGTTTCTGCTTTAGTGTGTATACTGCCACCAGATTAGTAACCTATAGTATTATGCCATTAGAAATATATTTCACCGATCTGTTTCTACTTTAGTTTGTACACTACCACCACATTTGTATCCTATATTTTTAAGGCATTGGAAATATATTTTCCGATCAGTTTCTGCTTTAGTGTGTATCTTAATAAGTAAACCGCATTAGTATCCAACATTATTATGGCGTTGAAATATATATTTTATTAAGGTGTTTATTTTATTAAGGTATTTATTTTATTAAGGTATTTTAAATATATTTTACCGATCAGTTTCTGCTTTTCTGTGTACCTACTACCACATTCGTAGCCTACAAGCCATTGTCCCGACTTTTTCCTCGATATGTTAAAAGACATTCAGTACGTTCTTATTTGAAGATTTCAAATATCGTGTTTTATGATTCTTAAACAAAATTCTTATTTGACAAGATTTTCCATTTTATATTGTATAATACCACAATAGATTACATCCCATCTTGTGTTTTTGCTTTTCTCCTTGCGTTAGATAATATAGAATACAAATATGGTAGTAGGAGACACTGATCTTTGGGACAGGCACTAAAGCGACACAGAAAATATATTGACATAATCAAAATGTTGATGGTCCACATTACTTCAAACAAAAGGTTATGAAGGAAACTACCATCGCTACTAGAAAGAGCAGTAACAGTTACTGGATTTGACATTGAAACACCGGTTCCAGTACGAATACCGAAGTTAAGCAATGTTGAGCCTCGCCAGTACCTAGATGGGTGACCGCTTGGAAATACCATCTGCTGTAATCTAGGATGTGCAGGTGTTGAGTTGTTGGGAGTGTTCCCGCGTGTGTGTATTCGAATAAGGACAAACACAGTTGTAGGGATAAATACTGGTATATTTGTAAGAGGTAATTAACAACAGAGTGATTAGTAATAAGGAACGTCGGTTAGTAAGTAACAATAGCAAAATCTACAGTCAAACGGTATGTAATGGTGACCTGATCTCGACTGCTATCGCTGAACCTGATCCTACATCCCATCCGCCTCTCTCTCTAGCACTGACTTATATCGTAGAGGGATCAGTCCATTATCAGTCAGAAGGTGGGTGCGCCCCAACAGCAGGTGATGTAATAGGTAATTGCTTGGAATTCTTAATCACAAAGCCGAGTCCCAATTACCATTGGGTTCGTTATATTCACTTAAGTGGGAATATGCTTGGGAAAGGCATGAATCCACATCTTCTCAACTATGTGTTTATTAGTAAGACTTGTATCACTAAATCCTTATTACCCCCAAAAATCATACAATCTAAAAGAAATATTTTCATTTTCACTCCCTGTAACTCTTGAGTACTAGTGGCATTTCCGTCTTGCTTGGGGTGAAATGATAAAGAAAAATTATCCATGTTTGCCTATAGGCGTCAGATATTAAGAAATTGCAGATCACGGTTTTAATCTGATATTTCTCCTTAATTTTGCAGGAAAAGGTTTTACAAAATCCAGGTGGAAGGATTTTCACAAGCAAGGAAACTTCCGGTATTTTCAGATAATTTTCCAGGGAACACTCCGGTGTTAGAATTACAGAAAATCATTAAATTCACAACGGCTTTTATTGTCCCTGAACACCGAGAAATGAGATTTAATTAAAAAAATTTAAAATCATTTGCTTATTAATCATGGAAGAAATAACTCTGGTCGTATGCCTGCATTACACAGAAATTATAATCTGGGATGTTATCGGAAGTCAGATTAGAGTGTCGAATTCAAATTTCAGTTGGTTATCCCAATTTTGATGTTAATAGAAAGGTACACTTAGTTCCCTAACAACCAATCTAGGAGAAGGGCAATTCTGAATTAAAAAATAATTGAGAGTGCAGTTAGAAACCAAATCCCGCAAAAAACGACAACACAGCAATAACAACTAGTATGTTTTGGCTGCGATTGTACCGGGGTGATACTCAAAATGAAGTCTACAGAGATAACGTAAATAATATGAGAACAAAACACCAAATTCAAGAAAAATCTGTCATTTTTATAATGCTCTTGTAATTTCTGGACAGGTTGTATGGAGTTAAAGGATTGTAAGCCTAAGTGGAAAATAGGGAGACTGAAAGCAATTAAATAAAAAAAAGAAGCAAAATTAAAAGCAAAGAGAAAAGAAATGTAAACAGGAACAAAAGAATGCAGATAAAACACAACAAAGTTAAGATAATATTTTATGAAGATAGGATATCAATGATAATATTGAAAATGATAATGATAGTAATGGAAATGAAAATAATATTAATGATAATGACAATAAAATTATGATGATAATAATAGAAATAATGCTCATAAAAATGACAATAAAACGATAAAAATAAAAATGATGATCATAGTAATGAAAATTAAAGTAATAATAATGATAATGATAATTAAATGATAATAGCAATAATAAAAACGATAACAATAAAAAATGATGATCATAAAAATGAAAATGATAATAAAAATGCTGATAATAATAATAATAATAAATGATAATGATCCTAATGAAAATGATAATAATGACAATAATAATGAAAATGAAAATAATAAAAATGATAATAATATCAGTGATAGTAATAATGATGAAAACGATAATGAAAATAATATAAATGATAATAATAAAATGATAATCATAAAGATAATAATAAAATGATAAAAAATGATGATCATAATAATGAAATAATGTGATAATAATGATAACGTTAATAATATAATAATAATAATAATAATAATACATTTTAATTTTAATAATAATAAAAAAGATGATAATGATAAAATAATAATAAAAATATAATGATCATAATGAAAATTATGATAATGACACTGATAATAGTAATGATAACAATGATAATGATAATAATGAAAATGATAACGAAAATAAAATGAGAATAAAAAAGATAAGAAAGAAAAAAACCAATGAAAGCACACATGTAAAAACGGGCAAAAAATTAAAAATATGCAATAGATAATGGCTATAATATTGATGTGTTAGAAAAAGATGACGCTAAAGAATATAATTAAAAAAGGCGAAAAAGGAAGAAAGCTGCTTTTAAAAAAAATGCCAAATAAGTAATAAAAATAAAAAAAAATGGATCGACCTAGAAAAAAAACAACAACAATAAAATCAAATGTTAAAAACAAGTAAGAAAATATAAATCTTACGTCAAACTTTTTGTCTTTATCTCGAACTTGGATCTAAAACTTACAAAATATGTTATAAAATTGTTCTATTTAATCTACAACAACGACAACTACAAAAAAAAAACAAAAAAAAAACGATTAACGTAAAATAAATAAATACCACGGCGTCAGTAATAGTAAACAGACTAGTCTATTGACCATTATTACTGTATAGGTGAATACGATACTCAATTAGAGCCCCATATTTTCAGCCTTGTGCCAAAATTAAACTAAGCTTAGAATCAAAGAAATGGAGGGTGGTGGAAAAAAGACGAATGGAATAAATGCCGTTTAAGAAGAAGAAGAAGCCGAAAGAAAAAGTGAGTTGTGAACGTGCTCAGCCAAAGACAATTAGCCGTAATTGGTTCGCAGGAGAATGGGTCCTGATATTCCTCTATGGAATAACGGCGCCGAGACGTAGCACCCGTGACGTAAGGACGATGCAGGAAGGTGTGAGACGCAGACGGATCTATTTTGTTACGCGCAACGTTTTCTCACACTTGTGCCTGAGCACACTGCGCTCTGTTAACAGTAAACCGGCGGAAAGCTGTGAAAATTACACAGCGACACATATGCGCATGTATGCACCACGCGTTTGCTCAGTGTTTTTCACTTAGGTGTGTTTTTCGGGGTTTTTGTTTAATTTCTACAAAGCTTTTTTCATTCGTCTGTTTGAACATGTTTGTGCTTATGTGTGAGTGTGTGTGCGTAGAAGTGTTAGCGAATTTCTTATGAATACACTTCGGTGAGCAGATTTTTTCGAAGATTTTCTTCGATTTTATCACATTTCATATTGTTTTTGCTGTTTTATGCCAGGTTTGTATTTATATGAGTATTTTCATCAGAAGCGGTTTTGTCTTTTTATTCTAATTGCTTCTAACGGACCTTTTTTTTTCTTTCTCTTTGTTCACCCTTCAATCTTTTTCCCCGTAGACGACGAAAGATCAGAATATATATAAATATATGTACACAATCTATCTATCTATCTATCTATCTATCTATCTATCTATCTATCTATCTATCTATCTATCTATCTATCTATTCTTTTAAGAATCTATATCAGTTTACTCATATATATCTCTTCTTAGTTGCCTATATTACTGTCTAAATTCCGATCTCACTGCATCATTTTTATTGCTATCTCTTTATATCAGACTCTTCATGTCTGTCTGTCTATCTATCTATCTATCTATCTATCTATCTATCTATGATTCTTGTTATCTTTTACTTCTGTCTTAGTCTTATTTTAGTTATCATCCATATCTGTTAACTCACTCTTATTGTATATATCCGCTGTATCTATCTATCTATCTATCTATCTATCTATCTATCTATCTATCTATTTATCTATCTATTTATCTATCTATCTATCTATCTATCTATCTATCTATCTATCTATCGATGTTAACTGTTACCTTATCTAACTTTATATATTCCTTAACTGCTTTTTTATCTATCGTAGTTGCTTAATTATCTAATTGTCTATTTATAACTATATATATATATATATATATATATATATATATATATTATCAATCTATCTCAGTTGCTTCATTATCTATCTATCTATCTATCTTAAGTCCTGATGCCAGACATAAGGTCTTCCAGCAGCTATCTCTGAACACTTTGCAGCACTACCTCCTCAAGGCACCTGATGTAGGCTTCCGTGTTCACTCTGGCTGTCGTACCTTCGTAATCACCATTAGATTCATCCAACTCTTTCCGAATCTTCTGTACTCTTCTCAGATTGATACCCAAACAGTTTTAAATGTTAGTATTGGAGATTCCGGCTCGAATGCCAAAGAGTACAGCATGTTTTCAAATCTATGTCAGAATGATTTGCGTCATGGTACTCTTTTTCACACAGACGGTGCCGAAGTCACCCTACTTTACTGTGCAGTCAACCAAATCAAGAACAGACAATGTGCATCTATTTTGGTAAGGGGTCTAAGAGATAATTTTTATCCACATATCAGTCACCTTCGGAGGAAGGGTGGGGGCTTTCATTTCAAAGTGAATGATGGCATTCATGTGCGCACATCGTCTGGTTAGTCACAGCGAAAGATTACTTTTGGCACCATAGCATGTCATTAAGTATCTAGAGAATTTTGTTTTATTTTAATCTCTTAGACTCCTTACCAAAATGGTCGCCCCAGCCGTTTCCATAGTAATTAATTTTGCGAATGAACATGCTTATAAAGATGCGTAAATTTCAAGATTGGTTATTCCTAAATTTTCGCTTGAGGATGAAACAGGGCTTGATACTTTAATTCAATTTAATTTTAATAATTATATTTAGGTTTTCGGCTCTCGTTTTTGAAACATGAGAACTCTTATGTAGCGAAGGAATCATATTTTTTTTAAAAAAATAATTATATATATATATATATATATATATATATATATATATATATATATATATAGTAGTTTAGATAAAAAAAACAAAAATATTTCTATATATTTAAAAGTTTAAATATAAAATATCATAATTACTCTCGGCTTCCATATGACGTCATGAAAGCGTTTTTGTCCTATATCAGTTTAATCTATATTGAAATATCTCGTCTGGAAATTAGTTATTTCTTATAATTTGGTAATATTT